GCGAGAAACCAGCCGCAGTTACCACAGAGGCGAAGCGCTCGAACCAGGCGCGAGGGGCCTGTTTGAGACCATATAGGGAGCGGCAAAGTCTACAGACCATACCATCAGGAGCAAAGTACCCCGGTGGTGGCTGCACATAAACCTCCTCACGCAACTCGCCATTGAGAAAAGCGTTCTAAACATCAAGTTGAGAGATAGACCACTGACGAACAGAAGCCACAGCAAGAAGAGTGCGGACAGTGGTCATATGGGCCACAAGAGCGAATGTCTCATCATAATCTCGCCCCTGCTCCTGCTGAAAACCACGGGCCACAAGACGAGCTTTGTAGCGCTCAAGAGAACCATCGGAGCGAGTCTTAATCTTGTAGACCCACTTGCAGGTGATGGGACGGACACTGGAAGGAAGAGGAACCAGATCCCATGTGCCAGAGCGCTCAAGAGCAGCAAGCTCTTCAGCCATCGCAAGCTGCCATTCAGGATGAGTCATGGCAGTCCGATAGGAAGTGGGCTCAGCAATAACAGAGAGACCGTACCGATCAGGGGAGTAGCGATCAGGCGGGGGGGCGAGGCCGAGCACAGAGTTTGTGAACCGGGGGAGGCGTGAGAGGAGGTGCACCAGAGGTGGAAGGCTCGTCAGAGGAGACATCCTCAGTACGAGATTGACGAGTATAGTGGAGAGGAAATGATGAGAGAGGGGAACGAACTGGAGATGATGATGGAGAAGTGGAGGGGAAGGATGAAGAAGGCGGGGTTGGTGATGAATGAGAAGGAAGGAGAGGTGCCGGAGGAAGAGGTGATACATGAGGCACATAGCAGGATGTATCAGGAAGGAGAAGGAAAGAAAGGTCGTCCACAAAGAAACTCGAGGATGGAGAACATGGGTAGTAAGAACGAGACTCGTCAAAGGTCACATCACGCGAGATGCGCAAGCGACGACCCACAGGATCCCAACATCGATATCCCTTGTGCTCATCACTGTAGCCAAGGAAAACACACTCAACTGACTGAGCAGTCAGTTTGGTGCGTTCTCAGGGGGCAAGAAGAACATAGCATACGCATCCAAACATACGAAGGGCTGAGTAGTCAGGAGAGCAACCAGTGAGATACTGCATAGGAATACCACCCTGCAGAGCGGACGAGGGCTGAATGTTGATGAGATAGGTGGATGCGGAAACAGTCTCAGCCCAAAAGTGGGGTGGAAGAGAAGCAGCAATCATCAACGCACGAGCCGTCTCAAGCAAATGACGATGCTTTCGTTCGGCAACGCCATTCTGAGCATGAGCACCAGGACAAGAGAACTGGGCAAGAGTACCCTGTTCCGCGAGGAAACCATGCAACAGCTGAGAGATAAACTCTCCAGCGGAGTCAGCACGAAAAGTACGAATGGGCGTGGCAAACTGGGTTTGAACCATGGCAGCAAAACGTTTGTATATAGGGAGAACCTCATTACGAGATTTCATGAAGTAGAGCCAGATGTAGCGAGAGAAATCATCAATAAATAAAACATAATAGCGATGACCACCTTTCGAATCAAAGGGAGCAGGACCCCAGACATCAGAATGAACTAAATCAAAAGGACGTTGAGATACAGACTCACTAGTAGGATAAGGTAACTGAGTCTGTTTGCCAAGTCTGCAACCATTACAATGTAAGGAGACATCTCCAGATACAGACCTTAAGAGGCCCTGACGAACTAAAGAAGACAAGCGAGAGCCACATATGTGACCAAGGCGATGATGCCACTACTGGAAGGACGCAGACGAAGAGGCAGCAAGAGCATGAGAGCTGGCAGAAGTGGTGGCAGCGGAAGGAACACAAAGCCAGTCAACCTCCCAAAGGCCCTCTGACTCACGGCGCCGGGGGCCAGCACCAACCAAAGCCTTGGTGCGACGATTCTGAATGGAGCAAGAGTCGATATCAAGGATGACACGACAACCAGAATCAGTAAGTTGAGCAGCAGAAAAAAGATTCATGGTAAGGCGAGGAACATGAGAAACACACGGAACAGAAAAAGATGGAGTGGAAAGAATACCACGACTAGCAACAGGAAGAGAGGTGCCATCAGCAGTAAGAACATTAACAGGCAAATCAAGAGGTCGGAGAGAAGACAAAGCGGAAGAATCAGAAGACATATGAAAGGAGGCTCCAGAATCCAGAACCCACGAAGATGTACCTGACTGTGTAGATGCTGGTGATGGTGAGGAAGAGGATGCAGTCACAGCAGCAGCAGAGCCAGTCGACGAGGAGCCTGAGGAAGCAAGAAGACGCTTGAGGCGAACAATGTCCTGATCAGTGAGTGACGGAGTCGAGGAAGACACAGGAGGTCCGATGGAGGAGGACCGCCTCTGGTCTCTCTTCTTCTGGCGACAATCAGACTTTGGGTGACCTGGCCGGGAGCAGTAACCACATGCAGTGTCACGGCGCGACGTGCCCTTCTCAGCATATGGAGGACGGCTTACCCCCCTGAAGGAGTAGGCAGGAGCGGCGGAGCGCTGAGGCGAGCAGGCGACACAGGAGCTCGGGCGGCCAGTACTGACGGAACCAGAAGCAACCCAGCAGAGCGAAGGCGGGTCTCCTCAGCACGAAGCTCAGCAAGTATCTCTGAGATAGGAACACGACCACGAGCAAGCAAGTGAGTACGGCGGGGCTCAAACTCAGACCGGAGACGAGATAAGAACTCATGGACCCGCTGAAACTCGAGATCAGATCGAGTAGTCTGACAACAGCGACAGGTTCCACAAACAACTGTCCGAAGAGAGTCAAGCTGGCGCCAGATGGTAGAACACTGTGAATAGAACTCATCAACAGAAGAATCACCTTGCTGAAGTGCATGCTCCTGGCGCACGACAGATAGGTAGAGAGCATCACCAGAGGGCTGATAGCGCTGACAGAGATAAGACCACATCGCTGCAACCGTGCCAAGTCCCATGAATTTCGAAGCAAACTGAGGGAGGACACTCCAGTGAGAACAGCAGCAGCTCTAGCATCATCATTGCACCACTGCGTGTAAACAGACAGATCATCCCGGTACACAGAGAGAGCGTCAGAATAAGCAGATGCCTGCTGATCATAAGCATCAACTGCAGCATCATCAAGAGCCTTGGCTGCATCCCGATCAGCCTGAGAAGCATCAGCAGCAAGCACTGGCGGGACCGGCGGCACTGGAGCCACGGGCGCAACAGGGCATGGCGGACAGGGGACCTCACCAGAAAGAACACCCCACAGAAGGAGACCACGCATATGAATACGCATGAAGCCTACGAACTCAGCATAGTTGGTGCCATCAAAGATCACCGAGCACCGCGAAACAACAACATAGCCTGAAGATGACATATTGAGATATCCTTTTTTTCAACAGCTGCTAGAGGCCCGATCTGGATCTGCCAGAACCGCTCACGAGGCCAGAGACCGAGTGGGGGAAGCGACCGGGCGGACTAGGCCCGATCTGGATCAGGAACCAACACAACCCGAGGGGAAAACGGCAGCACCCGAGGTCAACCGGCGACAGGAGTAGAAGAGGAGGGGCCGGCAGGCCCGGATGAGAGGCAGATGGACGCGCGCGCTCGAGAGACCAGAGCGAGAGGAGGCCTCGCACGCTCGAGAGATCCCAGCCGAGAAAGGAGCGGGAGGAGCCGACCGAGAGGAGATCGACAGCTGGAGCAGCGGATCTGGTCGGGGAAGCAGCGGGAGCGGCCCGGACGAGAGGAAGCCGGTGGCGTTGACCTCGTGGAATCGAATCCCAGCCGGGACAGCCCAGGGGAGCACGGGCATGAGCACAGTTAGCGACGAGCAGAGACGAGGAGAGCCAACCGGAACAGAGTCGGGGACGGCCGGAGACGAGAAAAATCAGGAGCAGAGGACGCACGGAGTTGCATCGTGCGGGAGAGAGGCTAACCTAACATCTGATACCATGTTGGATAATGAGCAACTTGCTCTTACTGAGGGCCAAAGGCCAGTACATATACAAGTGTGACAAAGTGCAGAAAAGCCCCTTATACAATGAGGATGTACACAATGAACTATACACATCTAACACATACCTTTGGATACCACTGGGTTTGTTCGCCATTGATGCTTGCCTTTGCTTGGCATTGTTGAATAATACATAATACTCCCTCCATCCCATAATATAATAGCGTTTTTGACACCACTAGTGTAAAAAACGCTCTTATATTATAGGACGGAGGGAGTACTATATAATCGTATGCATTGATTCGATGCAAAGCCCAGGGGTTAATCCTCCTTTTCGAAAAAGAAACAAAAATATGGAAAAAGGTTCTGTATGCAATGTAGGTGGATTGAGTATACTGTGAATTCTATAGATGATTGAACATTTAAGCCTTTCCTAGATGTTAGATCTAAATGAGACAGGGATTTACATGCTAGAATGTAGAGGCAAAATTAATAGACATTGCTTTCCAAAATTCTGCAGACATGGTTTTGTTCACTAAGTATGCACTAGAGAGCATAAATTATTTCGAACTCTACATATTCATTCATATTTATGTGTTGCCAGGAGAGCATGCAGTTGTCACAACACAAATTAACAAGTCTCACTCAGAGCACAACGCAAACAGTTTGTCACAAGTCATAACAGAATTAAAAATCTTGTAATTATAGTGACGCTGGACCAACTGAACACTTGGATACAAAGCTACCATTTCTATGTATCCAACAAAACCGACTGCTCCTCTGAAACCACGTCCAAAGTTCAATGCTTCACATCATTACTCACAAAAGGCTCCAAGCATTTCTCCACAGAAACTTGGACAGCATTCATGCAGCTCCAGAATTCATCTAGAAGGCATAATGGTCTAGCGTTAGTGCTTTAGTCCGCTGCAGTGATAAGGATACAGTGACATCAAACATGACAAGCTACTGCAGTATAGATGGATCATTGTTGTACAGGTTAATAAGATTAATGGCTATGTCATTGATCATAATGTTACCATTGTGAAACGGCAGCAGGTTCTTCGTGATGGATGGATGGATGGCCCATCTCATGGCAGTGGCATTCTGTCCCCAGCGTGATCTGAATAGATACAATCAGAAATGAGACTATGGTATTCCAGTTTCATAACATCATTGTTCTTGGTGCACATAAAGCCGTTGATACTTCATGTCCTAAACATAACTGTTACTAAGAACGTATGTACAAAATTTGCTAATCACAAGAAAACTATCATACAATGCGCTACATGTTTAGATGCCTTGAGTGTAGAAGGTTATTCAAGGAGTGACTTGTCATGGAATCTTGGTCATGTTGCAGAGGTTTTCAGCATTGGTCGTAACGCAGCTTGGTTGCTCTGTGGCTTGCCTCATCGCCATTGGCATGAGGTTCGACTAGGTGAAGCATGCATCGTGGTAGGCGTGGTGGGTGTGGTTGCTAATCCCTGAGATGAGCGTAGTAATGTCCGAAAGGCGCTGTACCCGGCTTCTTTGCCCCTTCTTCATAATGCAATGATACACATGCTTATGCGTATTCTAGAAGAAAAAAACCCTGCCATCGTACTCAAGAAGATGACGCTTTCTGGAGTGCTTAATTTGAGGCCTTAGTCTGTGTGATTGTGAATATAGGCACCAAGCAGTAGCATGAATCAGTTGGTCTCATGTACATCCATACTCTGAATACACAAAATGTTGCACATAATCTGCTAGCTATTTTGGGGCAGATCACTTCCAATTGGCCACATAATCTGTAGTTTAATTAGCTCCCACCATCTTGGGTTTTCACTTGGGAAGATATCATTGAAGTTCAGTGTCTTATACTAAATTTGGTATCTGAGTCTGTATGATTTTCACAAGGGAAAATTAAAGATTTGAAGTATGTTTGAGCTAAAAACAAAAAGAACAAAGTAACAGCCAAAGCATGCTGGAATTAGTTGAACTTCTAATTGTCAAGCAGATATGCTGTAGTTATCATGGTCTGTTTTTGTAACAAAGTAAGCATTTCAAGCTGGCCGTAGGGCATACTTAAACCTTCAATACATCCACTTATACTGATTAAATGTTTGCTTCATGTCATTTTGCTGTATTGTTAATGCTTTGCTTACTTTATTTGCCAATACAAGGTTATGAAAAAGTTCCCGGGATTAAGAATTACTGTTCTTGGAGATGGAGCGTATATGTGCATCATTATTCAACTGCTAACTATTTTGCTGTTATCAGCACGACACAGACATGATGACAGATGTGCTTATGTTCATCAGCATTCATTATACGGCATTGAATAATTTAGAGCACTTTATTCTTGTTTTCCATATATAGCAAGAATTATGAGTCGTGGAGTCGAGCGCCGAGGTTGAGTCATGGACTAGTCATGACTAGTCTAGACTATTGCTGGACTAGTCAACATAGTACTGTAGTACTCAACTTAGAGTACTCGACTACTAATACGGTAATACCTAGTATGTAATATTTACTATATATTATACTACAGCAATATACAATAAAAATTGAGTTGATCCAGAGGAGGATCACAACAACATAGGAGAACAGCAAGGGGAGGAGCACACAGCAGAGGGGTGGATCCACAGGAGGAGCAGAACCAGCGGAGGGAGAGCGTCGTAATGCTCCTGGGCACCGTTGGCGGGGTGGTTGGGTGGCAGCGGCAGTGGCGGGTCAATGGGCGGTGGCGGCAGCCCAGTCCCAGGTGAGGCAGCTCGTTGTGGAGCGATCTTGGAAAGCTAGGGTTGCAATTTTTTCCCTCCCGCGGGTTGAGCGCTGCTCACTTATCCCTCCCAAATTGAGTCGATCGACTCAAACACCCAGACTAGTCTGGACTAGTCAATGACTAGTGGCTCCACCGCTCGACTCAACGAGCTAGTCTACACGAAGAAGCTAGTCGACAATCAGATTAAGACTAATAAACTAGTCGTTACTCATACATCTCTTTTGAGCTTCATAGTCCATTATGTAACTGAAGCCTTTAAGATTGACTTCTGTTGCACTTACCAGAACTCCATTCCTATACCAACCGTTTTCCAAAATTTGCTGCATTTTTGTTACCAAATTTAAAATGTTCTATCAGTAAGCTGAAATACTTTGTAGAAAAAAAGATTGAACTCCACATTGGTTTTGTATATCCCAACCTGTTTCCATCACAAGTTGTAGTTGTCAAATTTATGATTTATTTGATAAGAGCAAGATAGCAACTTTTGTAATACCAAAAAAATTACTGCTTACCACAATGACACTCAAAACAAGCGCTATGCTTTCAGGCTGTAACTTACTTTTAGGCTGTAACTTAACATTGAGCATTTTACGACACTTTTGAAATGGATATAATGTGCCATGTTAAGCTTAACATTCTTCTAGTCATGAAACAATTTTAAGAACTTGGTACCTTTTCTAGTAGGTTATCATAGCAGCAGTGCCTCTTGCATAAGCATTCACTGCTCAAACTGAGCACCAAACTTGTTACTTGCACATAGCTTATGTGGTGTTATTCTACTTGATTTAATTTAGTAACCCTCTTAGATGTTATATTGTGTATTTTAGGCTACTGCTCCCAATACTATTCTAACAACTTGATTTTTCTGAATCTTGCAGTTGTTTCATTATTTGTGTTAATGTGCTCTAGTGATGACACAACTCCTTACAAACTCCTCATTGGTCAGCTAGTCTTGTTGATTCTGCAATAAATACACTATGATGTAGTATGATCCATAACCCGAATTAACTACTTGCTAGTTTAATCGAACAAGTCAGTCTTGGTTAAAGAGAACTATTTATGTCCAGCGCTTGGCCATCAGTGCCTTTCAGGTTATTTTAGTGTGCTTTAAAATATTAATTAAAGATCCATTGTACTTCTATACCGAAGAATGGTGTTTAAGAAACAAAATTTTCTGATCAGACTGGAATGCACATTTCTCATACAGATGATACATGCTAGGCTGCTAGCAGCTGTTAATATGACCCTTTGGAACTGTGTCTGCCATGTTATCTAACCCATGGAAGGGAGTAACCAAACAGAGCCTCTAGTTGGACCAAATCCCAGCAAGAATTGGGTGTGCACGGAAGGGTGGAAGGCTTGGGCATTATTGCTGAGTTTCCAGAGTCAATCTAGCACTCCCTCCATTTCAAAATAACTGAAGTTCTAGGTTTGTCCTAAGTCAAACTGCATTAAGTTTGACCAAGTTTAAATAAAAATACAGCAACATTTACAACACTAAATTCTTCATTAGATCCATTATGAAATATATTTTCATATTATATATATTTAATATTGTAGATCTTAGCAAATTTTTCTGTAGACTTCGTCCAACTTTAAAAAGTTTAACTTAGCACAATCCTAGAACTTCCATTATTTTGGAACAGAGGGAGTACAAGGCAAAATGTTCTAATGTTAATGCTTTCTACCGCTGCAGCAATATAGATGGACCATTGTTGCAGTTGATAAAAATAACCCGTTAAACCCTTACCATGCAAAACGGTGTCCAATTCATGTGAATGGTCGCCGCGACCACGTTTTGATTGCAGTGGCATTAAGATCCTGACATGTTCTGAAAAGACAAAAGTACTACAAATTAGTATTCGCTAACTACAAGAAGCAAACATATTGAAGCTGTACACGTTCAAAGAAGTTAGTACCTCGGCTGTAGAAGCTCACATAGGGTATGACTGTCTGGACGAACATCTTTCTGTGTACCTTCTTTGTTTGGCCAGAAGAGACCTCAACTGTGAACAGGCCAGCTTCTGTATTTAGGAAGATGACACCAGCACCGCTCGCAAAACCAACCACCGATGGTCCACCACTCACGAAGGTTTTGCGTACCATCCAGTATGTGCTCGAGAGGGCACTAGGAGGGAGCGATGTTTGAAGCTCGACGACCCTGCGTTGCCCCCTCGCCACAACTCCATTGGGACCATCCTCCATTAACCGCACATAGAGTTTAGAACCCCCCATGCTCGCAAACACCAGCGCACCGTCCTCCTCCCCCATGAGTTTACCGCATGGCTGGTCCTGCAAATTGATCGCCGAAAGTTCTTGCTCGCCCACGTCATACATCACTATTCTTCCGCTCCACTTACGGGGGAAATAGACTTTGTTTCCCACAACTGCAGTGTGCCCTGTCTCCTCCATGGCACTGGTGGCATTCGGGTTCTCAATGGAGATCATTTTGCTCCACTCGGCAGCCTCAGATGAGTAGAAGGAGGCGAACGTGGTCCTCTCTAACTCATTGGAGCCCGCGAAAGCCACGAGGAAGGGACCGTCGTAGCAGCCCAGGTGGTCGCAGCCATCCTGGGCGCAGAGCACCGCCGCCATCCAGGTTATCTCCTCCTGCTGGTCCTCTGCAGTCTCAATTATCTCCGACAGCTTGGGGTCGGTGAGAAGCCCCCACCGGCGGTCCGTGATGGGGTCCCAGACGGTGAAATCTGCGTGCTTCTCTCTGGGTGTGTAGAAGAGGACGCGGCCATGGCGGGAGTCGGCCGCGTGCCAGTTGCGGCGGTCGCGAACCGGCGGGCAGAAGGCTCCGGTAGGGTCGAATCGGGCGACGCCATGGCTTTCGTAGGATTTGTTGTGGAGGTAGCCCAACACGGGGGACGCCCCGTGGAAAGCGCGGTAGTCGCGGAAGAAGGCGGGGTCTGAGATGGTTTCGAGCCAGGTGGTGCAGACGGCGGAGGCGCGGACGAGGCTCGCCGGGTCATCCGGCGGGATGCGGAGCAAAATCTCGCGGATGGCGTCGTCGACCAGCGTGTGGCGGCTGCGTTGCGGCGGCGGCGAATTCATGGTGGGGGATTGGGGGCGAGCCTCCCTATCTCTCTGTCGCCATTAGCGGCGGGGCTTCGGAGGCTGGAAGCAGTGGGGCGCCGTGGCAGCGTGGCGGAGCCGTGCGCCGGCCGGTGAGTCGAGCGGGGCGCCGCCGCTGCGCGCAGTCGGAAACACAGGGAGCGAGTGGACTCACACGCTTATCTCTGTAGGGTTTTTGGTAGAATGGGCTGCGCTACTAACGCGAATAAGTGGCCCGGCCCATCTCCCCTCCAGCGGCTTCTTATTTCTCCATCTTCTTTCTCCTTTTTCCCTAAAAAAGAATCCTCTTTATTCTTCTTCCTTCCTGCTTTGCACTCATTCTCCCCGCCTCGACCACCCGCCAGTCGGCATTGGCCTAACCGCCGGCTCATGCCACCCATGCCGCCACTCTATGTCCTCAACGCCACCTCCACCGGTCCGACCTTTCACCAACACCTACGTCGTCGCGGCTCGTCGCCGCATCGGTCCATCTCTGGCTCGGTGCTTCGTTCCAGATGTGCCTCATCGTCGCCTCACCCCTTCACCCACCTCTACCCCCATTGACATTGTTCCCTAACTGGGGCGGGCCCAGGTCAATGTACCATGCGCATGGTTCCTACGACGGCCCGAGGGCTTGTCTTTTCATAAAAGAACTGAAAAAATATAACATGCATGCCTAGGGCGGAGACCATGGGGCGAGTAGGAGCCGTATCCCACCCCCTAAGCAATTGCATCATGTACTATAGTTGTGCAAATAATTATATATATTTTTAGGAAATATATATTTTTCTATTGTTAGTCGTGATTAGTTACAACACCCAAAAATGTACTAACTTTCTTTTTCCTACGGGAGCCCATGACAAATGCTATCAATTAGGTGGACTTTTTTGAAACAAAACACATAAACTTTATTTAGTAGAAATAACAGTTACATCGTTTCTGACGAATGGTACAATTTCATTTGGGGGTTTCTCGAACCAATCACAAGTCAAAAGAACCAGCCTAGCAAGCTCACGATCAACTTTATTTTCTTCTCTATTACAATGTTTAAATCTATAAATAAAAAAACTAGAAGAAAAATAATAACGATCGTTAAAAATTGTCATCCCACACCCGCAGAGTGTCCTTCATTCTTCAAAGTATTAATGACCTTCGAATTATCATAATTAATAACAAGAAGGTTGCATCCTAATCACCCTTTTGCGCAAGTGAAAGAACGAATCTGAGCGCCGAAGCTTCAGCCGTCGGGACGCCCACACACCAGTCAACTTTCCAATTCCCCTCATTTAAGAAATTTCCGTTATCATCCGTTAAGACCACCCCAAGACATACCCGTCAAAAGAAGTGTTAACATTAAGTTTAACAAAACCCGCAGGGAGGCGGATCCAACCGTGTGTCTTCAACACTTCCATATTCTATATCCCCTGCGTAGTGCACGTAACATGTTTGGAAATTGGTTGTGAGATATTGATAAACAATTTTCTGCACATATTCTTATGGGGGTGGCTGCCTTATGCTAGGCATTGCCGATTGTAAAATAGGTTGGAAGCGTTGAACCCTTTGTCTCGGGCCGCATTGATATATATTGGGCATAAGCCTTGGCGTACAAGTTTAGGAGAGATCGATCTGACAGATCGTTACAGGAGACAGATGAGAATTGCTACGTGAGAGAGAAGAAGAGATAGAATAGGATTACATGTTTAAACACAAGACCTATCTCTATTCAACTATTCTAACACTCCCCCTCAATCTGAACCTCAAGGAGCTTTGCCAAGGTTAAGATTGTATATGATTTTTTCCAATCCTCTCATAGTAAGCGGTTTTGTAAACCCATCTGCGAGCTGATCTCCTGTGGGAATGAACTTGATCTCAAGTAGTTTCCGAGCCACCCTTTCTCTGACAAAATGAAAGTCGACCTCAATGTGTTTTGTTCGTGCATGAAAAACGGGATTGGCTGAGAGATATGTTGCTCCAATGTTATCACACCACAATCTCGCAGCCTGAGGAGCTTTAATACCAAGCTCATAAAGAAGTGTCTGAATCCACATTACTTCAGCTGTAGCATTAGCCAAGGCTTTATATTCGGCCTCTGTACTTGACCTTGAAACAGTGGCCTGTTTTCTTGCGCTCCATGACACAAGATTGGATCCCAAGAATACAGCAAAACCACCTGTAGATCTTCTATCATCAGCACATCCTGCCCAGTCTGTATCTGAATAAGAAGTTACAAGAAGAGAGGGGGACTTGGTAATCTAAAGTCCAAGGCCTCCTGAGTACTTAAGATACCTTAGAATTCTCTTAACTGCAGTCCAATGTGTAGTTCTAGGTGTATGCAAATATTGACATACCTTGGTCACTGAGTAGGAAATATTAGGACGTGTAAGAGTTAAATATTGCAAGGCACCTACAACACTTCTATAGTTTGTTGCATCTGCTGGTGAAAGAGCATCTCCACCTTCTACCGTGAGTATTTCTGAGGTAGAAATTGGTGTACTAACCGGCTTGCGATTCTCCAAACCCACTCTTCTGAGAATATCAGTGGTGTATTTTTCCTGTGAGAGAAGTATGCCATCTTTAATTTTCTTTACTTCTATTCCAAGGAAATAATGGAGATCACCCAAATCTTTGAGAGCAAACTCCAACTTTAAATCCTTAAGCAAGCAAGTAGTAGCTTCTGCACTTGAACTAGCAACAATTATATCATCAACATAGACAAGCACAAAGATAGTAATACTGCCTTTCCTAAAGAAGAACAACGATGTATCTGCCTTGGATGGTATGAACCCAAGGTGTTGTAACTGAATGCTCAACCTGGAATACCAAGCCCTTGGTGCTTGTTTCAGATCATATAATGCTTTATCCAACTTACATACATAATGTGGTGTGCTGTGATCCTCATAACCTGGTGGTTGCCTCATGAACACTTCTTCCTCAAGAACACCATGAAGAAACGCATTCTGAACATCTAGCTGTCTTAACCTCCAACCTCTGAAAATAGCAATAGACAAGACAAGTCGAATAGTGGCAGACTTAACAACAGGACTAAAGCTATCTTCATAATCAATTCCAAACCTTTGTTTAAATCCTTTGGCAACTAATCTGGCCTTATACCTGTCTATGCTTCAATCAGACTTTCTTTTTATCTTGTACACCCACTTACAATCAATAATATTGTCTCCATGTTTTGGTGGTACTAAGTGCCAAGTTTTGTTTTTCATCAGTGCATTATATTCACTGTCCATAGCTTCTTTCCAATCCTTATTAGTAAGGGCATCATGCAAATGAATTAGTTCACCAGTGGTGGTAAGAAACCCACGTTTGATTTTGTCATACCTAATTGTACCATCATTGTACTATTTTTCCTTCACAATACCTGACCGTGCCCTTGTTTGCCGAAGAGGGGGCGTAGAATGCACAGGAACATCCGCTATAGATGGTGGTATAGAAGATCTTGGTGAAGCCTCATCTGCCACAGAAAATCCCGCCGGCTCCCAATCCGATGCAGGAAACGAATCGGCCAGTTCCCGATCCAAGGCGGATGCTAGCGACTGGTCGGCCGCTGAGAAGGCCCGTGCTGAGGTGGGAATGGCCATGCGCCCGCGGGCGGCCGCTGCTGAGGCCCGCGGTGACGTGGCAGTAGGGGACTCACCCTCTCCCGCACATGCGCTGGTGTGTGAATTAAAGCGAGGAGGCATGGCGTGAGGCGATACGGCGAGGCCAGTGGGCTCCACCCTGGCAGCGCGGTCGGCCACAGGCCCGCACGAGTGCAGGCCCACAGGCCCGCGCGAGTGCAGGCCCACAGGTGAATCAGCCTGGGATCATGCGCCGACAGTAGCAGCAGGCTGAGCGCGCGGATCCGCCTGGGATCGCGTGCTGTCAGCCGGATCAGCAGCGTATTCCGTGCCTGTTTTGTCTGATTCTTCACACATAAAATGACGATTCAAATTCAAATTAGCACAAATATCACCTGAATCAGAATTTCCTTGGGATTTTTGCACATGATCAGCCTTAGTTAATTCGCCCCCGTGATCACAAGGTGCAGAAAGATCAGGAAGAAGTGCTATTTCAGCATGAAGTAAGGTTCCCGCATTTGGATGTAGTTTGGCAAAAGGAAAAAGGGTCTCATCAAAAACAACAACTCGTGAAATGTAGATGCGTCCAGTGGATATTTATAGACATTTATACCCTTTATGGAGGTTGCTATAACCAAGAAAAACACACTGAGTGGATCGAAATTCAAGCTCGTGATGATTGTATGGACGCAAATTGGGGTAGCAAGCACACCCAAATTTTTTGAGATAGTTGTAGTCAGGTTTTTGATGATACAAACGTTCTAATGGAGTGGAATTGCCAATGACTTTGCTGGGAAGCCTATTGATGAGATAAGTGGCAGTGATGAAAGCTTCATCCCAATATTTGAGAGGCATAGAGGCATGAGCTAAGAGAGAAAGGCCAACTTCAACTATGTGGCGATGTTTGCGTTCAGCAGAGCCATTCTGCTGCTGGGCATGAGGACATGACACATGATGCTCAATCCCAATGCAACGGAAGAAAGAGTTGAGTTTCTCATACTCCCCTCCCTAGTCACTTTGGACTGACAGAATCTTTCAAGCAAATTGTCGTTCAACGAGTTTTTGAAACTCTTGGAAGATAGAAAAAACTTCAGCTTTATATTTAAGCAAATAAATCCAAGTAAACTTGCTGTAATCATCAATGAAACTGACATAATATTTTTTTCGTCCAAAGGAATCACGAGCGTGGCCCCATACATCACTAAAAATAAGCTCTAAAGGAGCATGAGAAACACTATAAGACTTAGGATAGGGAAGCTGATGACTCTTAGCATATTGGCAAGCTTCATAAATAGACTCACTAATGGAACTATGTGACAAAGGAAGATTATCTTTATTGACTACTTGTTTCACAATGACTGATGATGGATGTCCTAATCGTTGATGCCATCTTTCCAGAGAGGGTTTGATGGCGGAGTAGACTTGACA